CTAGCAAACCTTAACAGAAAAAGGGATCCATTTGCTTCACCATCACCCCATTTCACTACTACTCCTGCCTTCAACCGTGCCAGACGCTGCCGCACCCTCTGCAGAGGGGCTGTGGAGAGTGACTGCTCCTGAAATATAGCTGGAGCTGCTCCCGTGTGCCCTCACTCCGCTTACAGAAGCTCCCTCCACCGCCAGCCCTGCGCCTCCTCCACCAGAGGTGGGCTCCTCTCGCCTTTGCCACTTGCAGCTTCCAAAACCTTGTAGCTGTGTCTCCTTTCCCATTCTCCCCGTCCTACGGGTAAAATCCTTTAACAATATCCTTTCAGCCTGGCGGGGGGACTCGGCTGGTTGAGCATTATCCTGGGCACCAAAAGGTTATGGGTTTGATTCGTGGTCGGGGTGCATGCAGGAGGCAATGATCTGTGTCGCACACTGATGTTTCGCTCTCTCTCTCTCCCTGCTCCCCTTTCTCTTTAGAATCAATGAAAGTATCCTCAGGTGAGGATTAAAAAAAAATCCTACGAACATCGTTTTGATATCTTATTGACTGACATTTTATTAGTGTTTTGGGAGGGAGCCAAAATAAATGCTTGTCTTTGGTCCACCATCTTTATCTGCAAGTCTGTCACTGAATTTAAACGTGAGTATTCAATATCTAAAAGACAGTGATTTCCACTAAAACATGAAAATGTGAACTGTATCTTTTTCTTAACGCCTTTTTCCTCTCTCTACCCGTAAAGGCTTTCCCTTTCCATCAGCTTCCTTGTTAGAGATTAGTGCTAAGTGGAGATGGCCCACACCCACGAAGAGGCATCGACCTGGCGGGCCTGCACACTGTGTAGGTCCATCGCTGCCCAGGCTCTTCTCTCCCGCTAGTCCTTCCCATCGCAGGCCTCCAGCGGGATTCCCAAAGCAGAGCTCCTCATTTCCTCCTAAACCAGTGATGGCGAACCTATGACACGTGTGTCAGAGGTGACACGTGAACTCATTTTTTTTGGTTGCTTTTTCTTTGTTAAATGGCATTTAAATATCCTATCTAATAATAGACAAACATGGTAATTGACTGTACCTTTGCTACACCTCCCATTGGCTAATCAGCACAATATGCAAATTAACCAACAAAGATGGCGGCTAATTTGCATACAGCAGGCAGGGCGGCACAGCACCATCCCGCCTGCCCCGCTGCCTGCCCCGCTGCCATCGGGCCTGCTATTTGCCCCCCGGGGTGGTGGGGTGGGACAGCGCCATCCCGCCTGCCCTGCCGCCATCCGGGCCTGCTATCTGCGACCCGGGGCGGCGGGCATCCTGTGTGCGACCCGACCCAGGGCGGTTGGGCGGGGTAGCAGCAATCAGCCGGCCTGCCCGGGCGTCCCGTTTGTGAACTGACCCGGGGCAGCGGGGTGGGACAGCATGGCTCCCTTGTCACCCCAGCTTCCTCATCACAGCTTCCTTGGGGGCCTAAGCCTTTAGTCGGACATCCCCCGAGGGCTCCCTGGCTGCCAGAAGGATGTGTGACTGCAAGCTTAAGCCTGATCCCCCGGGGAGTGGGCCTAAGTCGACAGGTGGACATCCCCCAAGGGGTCCTGGACTGCAAATGGGCGCAGGCCGGGCTGAGGGACCCCCCTCCCACCTCGAGTGCACAAATTTTTGTGCACCGGGCTTCTAGTATAAAATAAATATCAAAAATATAAGTCTTTGTTTTACTATGGTTGCAAATATCAAAAAATTTCTATATGTGACACGGCACCAGAGTTAAGTTTAGGGTTTTTCAAAATGCTGACATGCCGAGCTCAAAAGGTTCGCCATCACTGTCCTAAACCGACTCCTTCCTTGATCCTTCTCCCATGATGTCACTTATCGCTGTTCACCAAAACCCAAGCCAGAGACTGGGGGGTAACCCTCACTTCCCCTTCAATGCATCCTGTGTCCAGCAGGTCACACCAAGTCCTGACAGCTAAGCAGTCCCTTCCCACCGGCCTCCTCAACACATCCCCTCAGCAGGCAGAATGACTGCTGCTTTAAGATGGAAGGTCCTTAAAAATCACCTACTCCCAAGCCCATCAGCTCACTGGTGAGGAAAAGGAGGACAGAGTGACCTACTCAGAACACCTGTAACCTAGAAAAACCCTGAAGAAAGCAGTAACTTCTAACAAGGCCCCCTATCGTCTCTATACCTTAACTTTTCCAAACATGCACATTACGGCTATAAAAGGAAGGCCTGGAAAATCAAGCTCCTCTCTTTATCCCGTCCCCAATTAGAAATGCGGCTTAAACCAGACATTGCTGAATCACTTCCCACCGACCAGGGTACCCGCGGAAGAGTTCCATCTTTGATATTTCCATTTGAGATTCAACTGATGTTCTGCCACTTATTAGTTTACCTTCCATTTCGAAAAGCCCAAAACTCCTGCAATATAAGCCTTCCACAGTGTTACTTTCAGAACCTGGGATCGGAACTAACCATGCAAAGTCAAGATGAAGGGGATCATCTTTGTTGGGTTCATCTGTCTCTGGTCTAGTTAAAAACAAAACAAAACAAAACAAAAGATAAAAAACAAATAAAACTTATTCATACTTTTAGGGTAAGAATCGCGGGAGGACCCACAACACGGAAACCAGTATCAGCACGACAGCAGAGGCAGCAGACCGTGGGTGGGCGTGCCCTGATGTTAAGTGTCACTGTATAGCGTACATGTCTCCTATGAAGTGGCTTCCGGACTTTCTCACTAAATACAGTGAATGTGGACACTAGACCAATGTTCTTCATCCTGTGAAAAATTGTGCTCCTCTGTTAGAATAAGTTCTGGAGACGGGCAAGGGAGGGGAAGCTGCAAACTGTAAGGCTGTTCCTCAGGAAATTCTGTATTTCTTTCACGTGTAGACTTAAAACAAATTAGTCATTTCGATCAACCAACTTTTTGTATAATCCTAACTTGCTATCGCTTATGACTTACGTTCATACTATATCAAGGCCTCTTTGGCAAGTTAAAACAGAACACAGAACTCTTCCCTTGAACTAATAACTTCAAGACTCCCGGGAGGGTGGGGAAGCACAGGATTTCCAGTTGTAAAAAGGTCTTTTTGCAGGCCAGAGTGCCAGTCTTCTATTATATAGGGAATTTGGTGCCCATTTGAAACGACAGCAAAGAGAATGCTTGGTCATATTTTATTTCCTTTCAATATAAATAATGTGGAGTGAAAAACTGAGTCCTGGCCGGTTTGGCTCAGTGGACAGAGCGTCGGCCTGCGGACTGAAGGGTCCCGGTTTCGATTCCGGTCAAGAGCACATGCCCAGATTGCCGGCTTGATCCCCGGTGGGGGGCGTGCAGTAAGCAGCTGATCAATGATTCTCATCATTGATGTTTCCCCCTCTCTCCCTTTCTCTCTGAAATCAATAAAAAAAATAAAATTATTTTTAAAAAACCTGAAGGAATGGTAGGAAATGTTCTGGAACTTCTCTAATCTACACAAGACATAAACCCCCTCAATCTACCGCTTTTATTTCTTTTCTTTTTTTACTGGTCTCAAGACGCTAAGACGGAAAATAGGTGCTAAGGGCTTAAAAAGCAAATCTCGGTTGGTTTGCAAAGTCCTACTCCCCACCTGGATCACACAGCCGCTCCCAATTATAACCACGTGCCACGAGTTGTCCAAACTGCTTTGGCTGTACTGGCTTTTGGTCACATAGGCCCCTTCGGTATCTGGTTGCTTTAATCTTTAAAGATTGCAACCCTCTGATTCCTACATTCACTCCCCTCAGAATCCTACTCTGCAGGTAGAGTGGAGAGAACATGACGGAGAATTCTGGAAACGGATGTCAGTCCTGCCCCGGCTGCACCACTAACCGATCCTCAGCTCCAGGAGCCTTTGTGGACGTGCGTTTCCTCACGTGTGGCTGGAGCAGTCCCGGCTCCCTTCCACCCTCCAGGCAGCCCCCTGTGGGACTGTCTGCATTAGCTTCACAACCCTGCCGGCTGCAGGCCGCCGCCCTGGGGCTGGCCATTCTCCAATCAAAGTTGTTTTCCCCCCGTTTACTTAATGCATTCTTAAATTCAATGCATTGGGGTGATACTGGTCCAATAGGATCGCATAGGTTTCAAGTGTACATTCCTACCATACGTGATCTGCATGTTGCATGGCGTGCCCACCACCCAGAGTCAAATCATCTTCCGTCACCTTCCATTTGGCCTACAATCAAGCTTTAATTTTTTTTTTTTTAAATCTCGTTTTCTACTTTGCCGATTGCACTCAACCAGTGACAACTCAACCAACTACTCGTTGGAAAGCCAATGACCCACTCCCCCTCTTACATCACTTCCTCTTACTCACGCCCCAGGATGGCTCTCCTGCCTGCCGCCCCACAGCTCACCCTTCCTGCTCCCCGGGCCTCCGGGTAACTATCCTCACAGCCCAGGGGCCGCCGACCCGCCTGGCTTGGTCTCGGGGCCTCTCGTCCCCTGGGCACGGCCACGGCCCGGTCCCGGAGGGCCCAGGCTCCCCAGGTATTCCTGTCACCCCACGGGCCCAGTGTCTCCCGGGTCGGAGGCCAGGATTATGGCTAAGTTTGTCTCTTGCCCGGAGAGGACATCACAGTTTCCTGCCAAAAAGAACAGCGAGACGTGAAGAAGAGAGAAAAGCGGGGAAGGGCCTAGGATGACCGGGAGGCTAGAAGGGCCTGAAGGGGAAACGGGCGAGAGCGGGGCTGCGGGGCACGGGAGGGACCCGCTCCCACCGGGCGGGGCGGGGCGGCGAGACAACAGGTCAGGCCAAAGTTCGGCCCAACTTGGAGAGAAATGGGGTCCGGAAGGAGAAAGCCTGCCAGCCGGTGGGTGGGCACCTCCGTCCCTCTGTCGCTCTCCCCGCCCGGAGAGGGGGGTGCCCCGAGGGTCCCGAGGAGGGCGCCCCCCGCCCGCCCCAGGCCCACCCCAGGGACCCGCCCGGGCTCCCGGCCCGGCCCCTCCGACCCCGGCCCCTCCGACCCCGGCCCGGCCCGGCCTTACGTGACGTCCTGGTTGAAGTTGGCGAAGAGCAGCTGGTCGGCGCCAGCCTCGCCGCTCTGACTGGCCAGGTTCATGGTGGGCGCGCGGCGGGCGGGTGGTCCCGGCCGGAGGCTCGCGCGCGGGACGGGGTCGCGTGCACTCAGGGTCGGCGCCGGGCCCCGCTCGCCGCCGGAGTCGCCGCCGTTCGCCGCCCCGGGATCAATCGCCGCCTCATCCCTCCCCGCTCTTGTTTATGCTCCGGAGCCGGGGCGCTCTGCGCGCGTGCGCGGCCCGCCCCTTCGGCGCACGGGCCTCTCACGGCGCAGGCGTGCTGCGCAGGTCCCGCCCCCTCACCTCTGGCCCGGGTTAAAGTTCCGGTCAAACTCGCGCAAGCGTAGGGACGCACCGGGGCGCGCTGGGCGGGGCGTTCCTCGAGCGCCGCGCATGCGCTTGGGGAAGAGTGAGCGCTAGGTACACCCCCGTCATTTTATGAATATTAACAGGCCCGCCATGTGCCAGTCATCGTGTTTAATATTTATGTGCATCATCTTACTTGGTGTTATAGCAACCCAGTGTAGAGACTATTGCGTTCCCATTTTATAGATTTGAAAACTGAGGCTCAGAAACATTAACCCGTTGCCAAGTGCTGGGCCTGAGAATGGAAGCCCCATTTCTCCAAGGCGCATGCTTTCCGGGTCCCTAGGCGAGGCTCCCACCCTACATTTATTCATTTGTTCATAACATTTAGGAAGCACCTTCCGTGCTAACTAAACGGGCCTCTGTCTTTCCCGCAGAGAGCATGGCAGGGACACTTCACCACAATGACAAAGCAGGGTACAGGAAGAGCATACAATGAGGTCACTGGACCTGGACTTAAGGGCCTGGCAGGGACTGTGCATCAGACAGACACGTGCAGTCATATGTAAATGTATAAATACACACATGGAAGTGCCCACATAGCTAACCACCAAAGTCAAGACACAGGGCAGGAGCCGCGTCTTGGTGGTTCTGTGGTTTTCAGTTGGCACAGTGTTCTGTGGACTGTTATTACTGAGTAAAGGCACATAAAGAGGTGACCAAGGAAACCCCGTGATTCTAGACACATTCCTTGACTTCATTTTGAAAAGCCACTCAATTTTTTTTCTTGTTCAACAGGATCTATTATTCCATCTAGGTTAGGAACCCCTTCTCTCTGCCTTCAACAAATGAAGACCCTATAATAGCTCTAGGGTAGACTTACCAGTTTCAATTTACCAGACGTCTGACTCTGTTCCTTGGAGGAACAGGGGATCGTTTGGGTACTAGAATCTCGAAATTCAGTAAACCTACAGTTATGTAGATGAAAACAAATATCTTAAGTGGATTATTAGGTCTAATATGCAAGGAAACACTACCATCCCCAGGTCGCAGGCACGTGCTGTCTACTGTAGAATGACACCCCCACCTCACATGGTGTGGTGTGTTAGCTGGTGCCATGACTGAGTCTTTGGTAGGCCATTCTACCATCCATCTGAGTAATAGGGTGCATGACCAGGTGAATTCCAAGGGCGTGAGCCCATTGCCAAACTTCCTCCACCGTCATGTCAATTTCTTGGTTAGAAGAGAATTGGCGCAGACGCCGGGACACCCTATTAAAAATCGCAACCGCCACACTTTCTCACACCCCTGCCCCCTCCTCGCTTTGTGTTTCCAGGTGGCACTTACCACCTTCCACAGACCACAGCACGTCCCTCCCATTTCACTCCGTGTCCTTGTTGCCTAGAATAATGGGAACTTGGCGCCTGAAGAACTGAGCCCGGGCCTCTGCCCTGGGCGGCCGGAATGGGCTGGACTGGAGGGCTGCTGCCCACTCGCTCAGTTTTTGTTTTATTGCTTTATTCCCTGGGTTTTATTGGGAACCACAGACAAGTGTTGCCGGAGAGTACGCTGGGTTCGTGCCAGAGAGCTTGACCTGCGTGTGTGACTCACTAATGACTCTTGCCTCCGGCTCACCCGGAGGTCGGCTGAGCTCAGTTCCTGACGGCGCGGAGGCGTGGAGGGCGGAAGAACGCTCAGGAGCCTCTGCCATCGCTTCAGCATCCCCCAGGTGCCTGGCCTGGAGCCCACCCCAGAGAGAGGCGGTCCCTTCCTCCTCCTGCCGTTGGAGCAGGGCCAGCCCTGGCAGGCGCCCTCTCCTGTGCACCATTCCGAGAGGAGAGCGGCTCCCGGGGGTTCCTACCTAAACGCCAGGCCACGGGGAGGGGCTGAGGGCTGGCGTGCAGGGGGTGGAGTGCACGTGCCCGCGGGAGGCGTGGGAGAGGCCAGGACAGGCCGCAGGGGACCCAGAGGGCACGCTGCCGCCCACAGCCTGGCTCAGATTCCCCCAACGTGTGTGTCCTCAGGGAAGTCACCCACCCTCTCTGAGCGCCAGTTTCCTCAGTGAGGACAGGGTTAAAGCAGCTGAAGGCATGAGCATGCGGGAAGACAGACGGACGGCGGGAGGGAGCACTTCTAGGACACGGGCAAGGCCTCTGAAAGCATTCCTCCCCGTCAGGCACGGCGGTCCCGCCACGTGGGGGTGCATGTTCTTTGCTGCCGGCTGCACAGGCCTCCCGTCTGGCTCTCCCACCATCAGGCGAAAGAGAACACTGACAAAAGTGATCCCAATTGGCTTTTCCAGAACTCTGGGCAGTAATTAAAGGCTTGCAACAGCCTGAGAAGTCTTTCCCGAGTGAAACAGCCAAGTCCCGATAAACACGCTGAGCTGGCGGCACTGTCATTGCCCGAACCCCGTCGCTTCCTGTCGGATCCGTGTGAGCCTGGGAACCCGGGGCCTCGCTCCTGTGATGCCCGAGCCAGCAGCCGGCAGCCACTGGACGGGTGGGGCTTGGAGTTTCCCAAAAGCCCCAGCCAGAGCCCGGCCACCATTCCCCTGGCAGTTTGCTAAAGCACCTCCATCCTCAGAAGGCCTTGCCCGGCCCGCCAGGGGGCACAGGGGTGGGAGCAACTCCGGTGGGGGCAGGGGAAGCTTCTAGCAGGGCAGAGGGCCTCCGGGGGGCCTGCTGGGAGGCCAGGCCTGGAAGAGGAGGGGGGGTGACTAGAAGCAGGATGTCCCCCGTGAGGAGAGGACGGGGCGGGACATGCCTGGCTTCTCCACTGGTCCTCGGGGCGCAGGACGACAGGAAGGCTGCCAGCTTGCTCAAGGCCGACCTCGGGGCTGAGGCGGTGGCCTTGGCCTGCGGCTGGTCGCTGCGGGTGGTGGGTTCTGCCTCATGCGTGCACTGGCCATTGTACGTTTGCATGTCTGTCTCTGCACCCTCAGCAAACAGGGCAGATTCCACCTCCCAGATCCAGTTAGAAACCAGCCACCTCGCCTCTCCGCTCTGCCAGGCTCCGGCAGCCTCCCCTGTAACCGGCCACCGCGGCCCTTTCGCCTTCGTGGGAGCATCGCTGGGAGGAATCCTGAGGCCATGGGGTGTGGACACCCTCCCACCGCACCTCCCGATCACAGCCAGCTCCTCGCCACGGTCTGCAAGGGCCTGTCCCGTGTCACCTGGGCCGGCCACGCTGCAGCCCCCTCGTTCTTCCGGTCTCTCTCTCTCTCTCTCCCTTTCCCGCCCGCACTGAAGAATTTCCCTCTGCTGGCATCGGCCCCACCCCGCTTCCCAGGTAGCAGGTCTGTCTGGAATGGAACTCCTCGGGTGTCGATTAGAAAAGGCGCTCCCTGCCCCTCTCCCCTACCCTCAGCCCCATCAGAGCCAGTTCCCAGACGGTCACATTTTTTCAACGGTGGTCATTCCACTTCTGACCACCAGATGGCAGCAAGACCCAGCAATTAGACCGAAGGGGACCCTCCAAGGCTGGGTCCTGGGCTTCCGCTCCTGTCTTGGGGGGCCTGGGATCAGGGGTGTCCGGTAACCAGGAGATGAGCCCCGGGGCGGATGGGGCAGGGCTGGCATGTTAGAGAGACCCCAGGAGAGAAGGGCCGATCAGAGCTGAGGGAGTATGGTTACCCCAGCTTTGCTCTTCTTTTGCTGTTTTTCTATTTTAACTTCACAATTTCAGAAACAAACAGCGTGAGGCCAGATCGTGTGAGTTGTTTGAGATGATAACACAACTGCCAGCGGCTGGATCGGCCCGCCCCCGCCCCGCCCCCCCCCCCCCCCCCAACCCCGGGTCAGGATCAGTTGCTCCAAAGCCATCAGTGTTGAGAAAAACACAGTTTATCAGGACTGTCTAGATAAACGGGGCATCTGGCGTTTCTCGCACGTATAAAACAAAAGCAAAAGCGTTAGTATCTACTTCCCGCACCTCGCTGGTCTGTGAGTGTTTTCACGTGATCTTTTTGTCTGTGAAATGCAGATCTGGAGGGTTTTCCCTGTGGGAAGTCACCTCACCCCTCGCAAGTATCTTCCTGCGGGTTCCGACTGACGCCCCCTGCCTGTGTTCTCTTTGGCGGCTGTTTTGTTTGTTTTGTTTTAATCCAAGCCCCCACGTCAATGGAGAGTCTGGATCTGAATTTGGCTTCATCCTCCAAGTCTCTCGGCCCCAGTGTCCTCTTAGAAAATGAGTCTGGCCCTGGCTGGTGTGGCTCAGTGGATAGAGTGTCGGCCTGTGGACTGAAGGGTCCCGGGATCGATTTGGGTCAAGGGCACATGCCCGGGATTTCGGGCTGGATCTCCAGTAGGGGGCATGCAGGAGGCAGCCAATCAATGATTCTCTCTCATCACTGATGTCTCTCTCTCTCTGTTCCTCTGTGAAATCAATAAGAAAGGAAAATGAGAGGGGGCAGGAAAATTGCTCTGAATGGTGCCCTTGGGCACCTAGCTAATGCGTGGCACCCCAGCCCCCTCCTGCGGTTGTGACAGCAACCCCAGGCTGAGATGAGGGCGCCTGGAAGACAAAAACCAAAGGCCCGGGGATCTGGCCCCGGGCCCCTCACCCAGCTGCTTCCTGCCTCATCTCTGCGCTTTGGAAGTTTTGGGTTTGGATTCGCAGCGGAGTCAGGCAGGAGGGGAGCAGAGTGAGAAGGCCTTGTTTGGAGGAGGGGAGGGAGCGGAGGAGGGAGTGCAGGGGACCGGCCGTTCAGAGTAAGGCCCGACAGGAGGAAGCTCTGCTCAGGAATGAAGGTCCCTCAGCTGTCAGCCCGGGATCGCCTCCCCCACCCCGTGCGGCTCCTGCAGCCGAACCAGTGACTGAGAGGTGGGGTGTGAAGGCCCACCTCACCCACCCGTGAGGAACCTCGAAGGGCCTCCCCAGCTTCGGAAGTCCCCTCTGGACCTGCTGAGGCCACTGGCTACAGCGCCCAGCAGCCCAGCTCTCGGCTGCCCCTTCCTGCCTCCCCCCTCCCCTCCCTGCACAGCCCTGAGAACAGCCCCTTAGCAAATCTCCTCACGCTGATCTCAGCTGAGAGCCGGCTCCCGGGAGCCAGCGTGTGGCCAGTGCCAGCCTGGCCCGGGGACCTGCTTTTCCTTTTGGGGAAGGCCTGACACTGGCTCGGGAGGGCGAGCTGGTGGGGGAAGAGCCCACAGCTCCCTGCTGGGCAGTGTGCACAGGCCTGTCCCATCAGGCCCGGCACACAGTGGGCCGGACAGAGAATGAAAGATTGGAGTCCGGCTCTTGGTGACAACAGAGGACAGAGGAGCCAGGCTGGACTAACTCTCCAGTAGAAACATGTATAAAAGAGAATCTGGAGAATATATGTCCTAAGATCTGAGATACCGATGTACACATATAAACTATTTTTATTGATTTTCTTTTAGAGAGAGAGGAAGGGAGAGGGGATAGAGAAATAGACTCATGGATGAGAGAGAAACATCATCCATCGGCTGCCTCCTGCACAAGCCTCACTGGGAATGGAGCCTGCAACCTGGGCATGGGCCCTGACCGGGAGTGAACCGGTGACCTCGTTCCTGGGTCGATGCTCAACCACTGAGCCACGCCAGCCAGGCTAAACTATTTTTAATTGACACACACACACATATGGATAAGATATACGTATAGATTATAAATACAGATATTATTTGAAGAGTGACAAGAGCAGACAGAAAAGGGAGGGAATTTTGAAAGACAGCGACCATTGCAAGTTTGTGGCTCTGCTTGCGGACTCGCCCTACAGCCTTTCTGGTTTGGAGGGTTGGAGGTCAAAGCCAGGGGCTGACGAAAGAGCCAGAAAGTTTCTGAGGGTGATTCTGGAAGGGGAGGAGCCACAGGTGGTAACTGCCTGTTGAAACAAAAACACAACACTTCAGAGGAACATAACAAAATTCAGAATCTCTACCGCGTGCCATTTATCATGCTGGCATCTAATAGGAATATTGCAAAGAAATGGGAAAATGCAAGAAGAAAAACAACCAATAGAAATCGAACCGAAGTGGCCCAGATGTTGCAGTCAGCAGACAAGGACCTGGAGCAGCGGCATAAGTACGTTCGAGAACGGAAAGAAAGACACGCGAGATTCTTGAACGGAAAAGGGACTCGGTGAGAAATGCCCCCTCCCCCCCGCCCCCAAAGAGTCCCCTGGGGCATTTCAGGCTGGAGAGTGTAACTGAACTGGACTATGGTGGTTCCGAGGTTGCTGGGCAGGCGCCTGGCTGTGAGCTGGGTCCTGGAGGCAGGTGGCGGGCTCACACCCCAGCTCACTGCAGCAGCTGGCGTCCCTGAATGAGGCCACTCTCCTCTCTCAGCCTCGGTTTCCTGGCCTCTAGGACCCGATCCCTAATGGAGCTGGAAGGCCACATGGCAGGTGGCTCAGATGACCCTTAAAACCCACCCCAGCTCCCGGTCACCCAGAGAGTAAGTGCCACAGGGCACCCGCACACAGGGCGCTGTAGTTCTCACCCCGAGGAAGCTCTGGGACTCCCTTAGGCTGAACCCGAGGAGGAGAGGGAGGAGGAGAGCGGGAAGCAGCCTCAGCTGGGCGGCTGAGCTGCCAAAGGTTTGCATGCCAGGCAGCTGCCACAGGCCCAGGGGTGAGGTGTGTGGGGGGGGGATCCACAAAGTATTGGCTCAGCCACACTGCGCAGCCCCACCCTCACCCCCAGGTGGGTGGCTCCGGGATTAAAGCCACCGAGAGGGAGGGAAGAGAATCCGGCCAGAAGGTGCCGTGGGTCCCAGAGACAGACAGCAGAGGCTGCCTGCCGGGAGGGGCTGCGGGTGCCCGCGCTCGGGGAGCAGGTGGGAGGGCTTTATCTCACCTCCTGCTCCCACTCGCCCTCCGCAGAGCGCAGAGCAGGGGCTCAGGGTTAGGCGGACAAGGGTTGATCCCCAGTCCCAGGTGGCTGGCGGGGCGGAGTTACAAAGAGGATTAAAGGGGATACTAACTCTCAGCAATGATGTCGGGCTCCTTGGGCCGTCCTGCAAGTTAGCGACTGTCACCCCTACTTTATAAGCAGGAAGCTGCTAAACGCAAGCAGGAAACTGAGGCTGCAGGGCTAAGCCCCTGGCCTAGGGCACCTAACTGGGTGCTGGTGGAGCCAGGCCCGGGTGGTGGAGTCCCAGGAAGGCTAACTTCAGAGCTTTCAACCACCGTCCAGCCTGGCCTGGCGGGGATGGGGGTGGGGGGTGGGGGGGGGGAGTCCTGGTGCCACCTCCAGGGGAGAGCGTGAGGGCTGGTTTACTTCCTGCGGCAGGGGCTGCAGGTCCCCTCCGGAGAGGAGGCACGGCCACCTACTCCCAGGAGTGGCGGGCAGGCTTGGGCGACAGGCCAGGCAGAACCTGGGACCCCAGCGCTAGCAGGAGGGGGCTTGTTCCCTGCCACCCTGGCGCCCACTTTGTCTCCTCCTGGGTGCACTCACAGGCCAACCCTAACTCCTGGTGCAGGAGCCAGGCCTTGGTTGCCATAACAACTGGATGCTGGCAGTAAAAATAGCAACCTGCGTCTCAGTCAACTTCTTTTGCTCTTGGAGAAAAATAGAATCCATCTCCAGGCTCGTGTTTCCTTTTGGGGGTCTCCTCTGGGCCCTGCCGAGCCCTCTGCCAAGGTGGCCAGAGCCGGGGAGGCCCCGGGGGAGCTGGAGAGGCCTGGCCCAAACCTGCGGCGCCTCCGCCGTCAGGAGCTCCGGCTCCGTGGACCCCGGGAAGGAGGGCCGCTGGAGGTTGGTCCTCTGGGGCGTTGACCTTTGCAAAGCCCGTGGGACCCTTTAGGGAATGGAGGCTGGGGGCCGAGGAGGGGGTGTGGCTGGCCCCGGGGCACGGGGTGTCCTGGGGGGCTGACAGTGAGGCCTGGGGTGGGGTGAGGTCCCAGCAGCTGCCAAGGAGGGCAGGGCGGGAGGAGGCTGGGAAGCACAGGGCTCGGCCTCATCGGCCTCTTGGACTCGGCTCCTGGGTCTGAGAGGCCCCGTGAGGGGAGCGCTGGGCTGCAGGGCAGGTCCCGGGAGGGTCCCTGGTCCCTCTCAGCCCCACTCTCCCTCCATCTGAGGGGACAGGAGGCACGGTCACCACAGCCATGAGCCTCGCCGTTCTTGACCGTGACTCCCCGTGAGAACACAGGTTCCCTCCAGCAGGACACAGTCTGCCCACGCGTGAGACCAGCTTCCGACCCACAGGACTCTGAGACCGTGGAGAGGGTCCCCCAAGGGAGCCCCCGGCCAGGTGCGGCTGCCGAGGACTTGACATGTGGGCCTGGGACCGGCCCTGCACCGTCCGTTCTATTGCATTTTACTAAAGGGGCTGGCGACAGGCTGGTGAGCCGCGGCTCCAGGAGGTGCGGGGCGCAATCTGGACCCAGGGCTCCGAGGGGCCCTTTGGGGTCGTCGCGCCTCAAAGAGACCTGGCGCTGGCGCTGGGGAAGCGCGAGCTACGGGTCCACTGGGGGCGGCCACGCCGGGCGGGCGGGCGCGCAGGGTGTCCCCGCTTCCAGCCCCGGGCCCCCGCCTTCTGATGAAAAGCTCCGCGCAGGGCAGAGCGGACCCGGGAGAGCAGCCCCCCGCCCCTCCCGCGCCGGTCCCCCACCTCCGGCGAGGGGTCCGCCCCGCACGGGGACGACGCCCAGGCGATTGGCCGGGAGCCCCCCGCCCGCCCCGCCTCCATCCGCTCGGGATTGGCGTCGGCGGCCCCGCGCCCCGCGCCCCGCGCCCCGCGCCCCGCGCCCCGCGCCCCGCGCCCCGCGCCCCGCGCCCCGCGCCCCGAGCCCCGCGCCCGCCCGTCTGCTGCGCCCGCCGCGCCGCGCCTCCCCGGGCCGCCCGGTGCGCGTCCTCCGAGCCGGGCTGGCCGCCGACGCCCGCGATGCTGCCCCGGCTCCCGGATTTCCAGGCGACCACCCTCGCCAGGTGAGCGGGCGGGGCGGGGTTCCCAGCGCCCGGCTCTGAGCCCCAGCTCCCGGTGAGCGAAGCGGGGAGGGTGAGTCCCCACCCGGGGCCCCGCGAGGATTGAGGGCGCTGATCCCCGGAAGCCCGGGCGCCGCGCGCAGAGGCATCGCCCCGGGTCCGCCCGCGGGTCTGTTCGCGAGGAAGGCGTGGCCCGCCCCTCCCCTCCCGCCGCCGCCTCTGTGCCCCCGCCCCGCCCCCTCCGAGCAGGCGGGGAAACTGAGGCTCAGGGCCCAGGCAGAGCTGCCTGTACGGGACGGCCTCTGCACGGGGTGAGCTCCAAGTCCCGGAGGCTCACTTCCTTCTCCGTAAATGGTGATGCCAGACACTCCCCGGGGATTGCTGAGCCGAGGGCAGCTCTGACTCCTAATTAAGGGGCACGGGGTGGGGGGCTCGGTTAGGAAGAGCTGGGGGGCTTGGGCTCACCTGAAAGCCGCGTGAAACCGTTCCTGAAGTTGCCCTTCAGCCCCAGGGGTGCCCGGAGGACAGGGGGTCCTGGGAATGCAGCCTGGGCCCCCACCCCCACCCCCGCCTTACTCATCCTGCCCTGCTCCTCCCCTCCTCCCCCTCTTCTCCTCCCCTCTTCTCCCCTCTTACCTTCCCCCCAGGTCTCCGCTCGCCTCCCGGCAGAGTGGCAGGAGGTGGCTTGGAGCCCTGCTGGCATCAGTGTGAGAGTCCCGTCCATGCGGCTCATGGTTGGGGGTCCCTGGGCCCTAAAGTTTCTAAGGTCCTGGTCACATTGAGCACAGCTGCCCCCAGAGGCTCCTGCGGCGGAGGAGTGGGCAGGGCAGGCGGGAGCAGGCGTCCTTCCCTCAGGCTCACGCTGCTTTCGGAGTTGGGGGGATTCTGAGTGTCTCCTTCATGAAGTTGGGGAGCGCCTGCGTGGGGACCGTGGCCGCGCAGAGGAAGGGCGTGAGGATGAGTCCCTGCCCATTTGCTCTGGGTCTGAAGGCGGGAGGGCTGGCTGCACCCATCCCGGGTCCTCAGGGCCCTGGTGCTGGTGTGAGGTGGGAGCCGGTGCGGTGCTGGACTGAAGGGGGGGAGCCCAGGGCTGGGGGGTGCGGTGCTGGCCTGAAGGGGGGGAGCCCAGGGCTGGAGGGTGCGGTGCTGGACTGAAGGGGGGGAGCCCAGGGCTGGGGGGTGCGGTGCTGGACTGAAGGGGGGGAGCCCAGGGCTGGAGGGTGCGGTGCTGGACTGAAGGGGGGGAGCCCAGGGCTGGGGGGTGCGGTGCTGGACTGAAGGGGGGGAGCCCAGGGCTGGGGGGTGCGGTGCTGGCCTGAAGAGGGGAGAGCCCAGGGCTGGAGGGTGTGGTGCTGGCCTGAAGAGGGGGGAGCCCAGGGCTGGGGGGTGCGGTGAGACGGGCAGGAGGCACCTGCTGTGTAACCTTCCGGAGGTGTCAGCCTCTGGGCCTTAGCTGGCGCCCTGGAAAGACTGGAAGTTGGCGTAAGTGACCGGTGGATGGGACACAGGTGCTGCCCCCTGGAGTGGACTAGCGCGCCCTGTGGGGCTGGGCGGGGCCCTGCGCTGCTCACTCCTGGCTGATGCAGCTTCCTGGTGGGGAGCCCAGGGAGGACGCGGGTGCATTGGTGAGAACCGTTTCCACTCCCTGGCCCTTACTCCTGTGCAGTCCACGGGTTAGTCCTTAACGGTTTCGTGATTGTGTGAATTTAATAGTTTAACCCAGTTCTGTCCAATAGAACAGCGGCTGGGGGAGGGGTGGCGGGAGGCGGGGCTCACAGAGGCGGGTGCCTTGGGGGGCTGCTGTGGGCCGAGCCCGCACAGAGGTTGGGGAAGCCATCCCAGCCAGGCCCCTTTCGAAGCAGGTCCCATGCATCACCCACCTCCCCTGAGCCGGCCTGCAGGGGGGACTCTTAATCCCTGTGGGCCTTCCCGCCTCCCACACGGCCACGTGACAATGGTACCACCTCGCTTTGCAGAGTGTAGCTCTCAGGCCACCACTAACATTTTTAAAAATGTATTTTTAAAATTGATTTCAGAGAGGAAGGGAGAGAAATAGAAACTTCAATGATGAGAGAGAATCATTGATCAGCTGCCTCCTGCATGCCCCCCACTGGGGGGGCGCGGAATTGAGCCTGCAACCTGGGCATGTGCCCTTGGCCGGAATTGAACCTGGGACCCTTTAGTCCGCAGGCCGATGCTCTATCCACTGAGCCAAACTGGCCAGGGCATTAACATTTTCTTTAATTTACATTCATAAGGGTTTTTAAAATTACAATTTTCCTTTTAATTCTTTGGACGTGCTCTTCAGGAGAGATTTCTGCCAGGATGGAAATGTATGTCTGTGGTCCCTGTGAGCCGGTTACTTAGCTTCCCTGGGCGCTGGGCCTCCCGGCTCCCTGATGTCCCGTGGGACCAGGTGCGATGCTTACAGAGTTGGAGGAAGTCTGAGTGAGGCCAAGACCCGGCAGACCCCGGTCCTCCCAGATCCCGGTCCTCCCAGACCCCGGTCCTCCCAGACCCCGGTCCCCACAGACCCCGGTCCTCCCAGACCCTGGTCCTCCCAGACCCCGGTCCCCACAGATCCCGGTCCTCCCAGACCCCGGTCCTCCCAGACCCCGGTCCCCACAGATCCCGGTCCCCACAGATCCCGGTCCTCCCAGACCCTGGTCCTCCCAGACCTTGGTCCTCCCAGACCCCGGTCCTCCCAGACCCCGGTCCCCACAGACCCCGGTCCTCCCAGACCCTGGTCCTCCCAGACCCTGGTCCTCCCAGACCCCGGTCCCTACATCCCGGTCCTCCCAGACCCAGGTCCTCCCAGACCTTGGTCCTCCCAGACCCTGGTCCCCACAGACCCCGGTCCTCCCAGACCCCGGTCCTCCCTGACCCAGGTCCTCCCAGACCCTGGTCCTCCCAGACCCCGGTCCCCACAGATCCTGGTCCTCCCAGACCCCGGTCCCCACAGATCCTGGTCCTCCCAGACCCCGGTCCCCACAGATCCTGGTCCTCCCAGACCCTGGTCCTCCCAGACTCCGGTCCCCACAGATCCTGGTCCTCCCAGACCCAGGTCCTCCCAGACCTTGGTCCTCCCAGACCCCGGTCCCCACAGACCCCGGTCCACCCAGACCCCGGTCCCCACAGACCCCGGTCCTCCCAGACCCTGGTTCTCCCAGACCCCGGTCCCCACAGACCCCGGTCCTCCCAGACCCTGGTCCTCCCAGACCCTGGTCCTCCCAGACCCCGGTCCCCCCAGACCCCGGTCCTCCCAGACCCTGGTCCCCACAGACCCCGGTCCTCCCAGACCCTGGTCCTCCCAGACCTTGGTCCTCCCAGACCCCGGTCCCCACAGACCCCGGTCCTCCCAGACCCTGGTCCTCCCAGACCCTGGTCCTCCCAGACCCCGGTCCCCACAGACCCCGGTCCTCCCAGACCCTGGTCCTCCCAGACCCAGGTCCTCCCAGACCCTGGTCCCCACAGACCCCGGTCCTCCCAGACCCCGGTCCTCCCTGACCCAGGTCCTCCCAGACCCTGGTCCTCCCAGACCCCGGTCCCCACAGATCCTGGTCCTCCCAGACCCCGGTCCCCACAGATCCTGGTCCTCCCAGACCCCGGTCCCCACAGATCCTGGTCCTCCCAGACCCTGGTCCTCCCAGACCCCGGTCCCCACAGACCCCGGTCCTCCCAGACCCTGGTCCTCCCAGACCCTGGTCCTCCCAGACCCTGGTCCCCACAGACCCCGGTCCTCCCAGACCCCGGTCCCCACAGACCCCGGTCCTCCCAGACCCTGGTCCTCCCAGACCTTGGTCCTCCCAGACCCCGGTCCCCACAGACCCCGGTCCTCCCAGACCCTGGTCCTCCCAGACCCTGGTCCTCCCAGACCCCGGTCCCCACAGACCCCGGTCCTCCCAGACCCTGGTCCTCCCAGACCCTGGTCCTCCCAGACCCTGGTCCCCACAGACCCCGGTCCTCCCAGACCCCGGTCCTCCCTGACCCAGGTCCTCCCAGACCCTGGTCCTCCCAGACCCCGGTCCCCACAGATCCTGGTCCTCCCAGACCCCGGTCCCCACAGATCCTGGTCCTCCCAGACCCAGGTCCCCACAGATCCTGGTCCTCCCAGACCCTGGTCCTCCCAGACCCCGGTCCCCACAGATCCTGGTCCTCCCAGACCCTGGTCCTCCCAGACCCCGGTCCCCACAGATCCCGGTCCTCCCAGACCCAGGTCCTCCCAGACCTTGGTCCTCCCAGACCCTGGTCCTCCCAGACCCCGGTCCCCACAGATCCCGGTCCCCACAGATCCCGGTCCTCCCAGACCCTGGTCCTCCCAGACCCTGGTCCTCCCAGACCCCGGTCCCCACAGATCCCGGTCCCCGCAGACCCCGGGACTTGGCTCATACCAAGAGGGACTGGGGCTCAGTACCTGCACCCTCAGGTCCCACTTTCAGGGACCCTCCTACAGCTCTGTCACCAGAGGCGGGGGCACTGGGAGCCAGGAGGCGCTGGGAGGACCCTGGCTCTGATTTTGATAATGACTGTTCCGCTGACGTCCTCAGTTGGGTCCAAGCAGGAGGGGCCGTGGGGATGGTTGGGGCTCTGGTTGTCCGAGGTCAACCAAGGAACGTTCGCTCCCTCACCGGGACCCCTGGCTGCACCGAATCCAAGCCGCATCCCACCCGCTCCTATGGAGTCTAACCCGCATCCCACCCGCTCCTTACGGAGCCGCAGTCCAGTCTCCGCGGCCCAGGAGCGTCAGGCGCCGGGGCACAGGGCTGGCCAGCACCACTTCCCGCCTCCCCGCGCTCCGTCCTGGTGAGGAGCAGCCCCGGGAGAGCGCTGCCTGTGGAAGCTCAGGGGCTTGCGCCCGGGTGAGGGTGGGGTGAGGGTGTGCGGGGCAGAAATGTGCGCAACGCGGAAGGCACGCTTCCCCGGGGACTGTTGGGAGGACGATGTGAGACATTTGCGTGGACTGGCCGCAGGGCTGCCCAGTGATGGCTGGCCTGTGCGGCGGC